TTTTCCACAAGCCTTACATTAATAAAGTAAAGGCTAAACCAATTCCTCTGAGTCTTCCTGGGTGTCCTGAGGTGTTAATGAGTCCGATGGGATGTAATCTGGACTCCATTTAACTTTACATATATCCGATGTAATTCATCAAAGAGGTATCCTTGAGGTGTTATCAGTGGTGATCAGAAAAGGTTCAGGATCACTGAACTTTTTCTGGTTCAGATGCCCTTCCCTACACTTCAGTAGCATATTCAATATGTTGTTGGTTTGAGCATTATGTTCAAGATAGCACAAAGCTATGTGCAGCAGTGTTTATTTGCCAACTATTTGCTATAGGATTATCACATAATGGACATTTCTGTGGCTTCTAGAGATTTTTAAAAAACTAGTAAATCTGGAGAAGCATACTGTGCATCAAAGCAGAGTTGACATTGTTGCTGTTAATCAACAGTGAAAAAGCTCCACAGCAAGAAGTTGTCATCCGATTTTTTTACTGATGATTGGCTGCAAGGTGGCTCAGTGGTTAGCGCCGTCTCTGCGCAGTTAGAAGATGCCCGGTTTGCGTCCTGGCTAGGACACCCAGGATCTTTCTGCGTGGCGTTCGCATGTTCTCCCTATGCAGCATAGGTTCTCTCTGGGTTCTCCGGGTTCCTCCAACAGTTCAAAAACATGTTGAAACATGTTTTTAGGCCAAGATTATAAACTCATGACTACAGGTGACCATAGTTTACCTTTATCATGTAATAATCTTGAATAGGACGTCCATTCATCAGTCCTTATATTATCTATACACAGCTTAATCCTCATTAAGAGGGGGGGCTGGAGCCTATCCCTGCTGACTCAGGACAAAGGCAGGGGACACCCTGGACAGGTCGCCAGTCTATGGCAGGGCTACACTTAGAGACAGACAAGCACACTCACATTCACACCTACGGACAATTTAGAAACACCAGTTGACCTCCGCATGTTTTTTTTATGGGCTGTGGGAGGAAACCGGAGAACACTGAGAGAACCAACACTGCACAGGAAGAACATGCAAACTCCATGCAGAAAGATCCAAGATGTCCTAACTGGGACGTGAACTGGGGATCTTCTAGCTGCGCGGCAACGGTGCTCACCACCGCGCCAGTGTTTCTATTTTTTTGCCATAATGCCCAGCTGATCTCAAGATCATCGTATGAAAACAGTTGTAAATCTGACAGATGACAGATTTTCTCCATGCTTCATTTCTGCATTAAAGTTGTCGGGACACTATATGAGCTAGCTTTTACTCATCATGAATTCACTTTTCTCTGTAGCAAAACACATTACAGGAGCCTTCAGAAACGTCTGTAGGTTAACTGGGCTAACCAAACACTTTCAGTCCTGCTGCAGCACAGTCTGTTCAAGAATATAGGTCAGTGTTACTCCACTACAATAAATCTCATTGTGGCTTTCTCTCTACTGCGTGGCTTGCAGCAGATTACACTTCAGGAAACCAAAACAGAGCTGAGAACTGCACACGTATTGTTTTAGTTCACTGATTTTTTTTATTTTATGCTTCCTTTTCCCTTTTCCTCTGACACATCTTTAAATCACACTTCTTGCTTGTTAGGAAAAAAAAAAGGTCTGATAATTCCTGTAATGTTTAAATAAGACAGATTTTCAAAGTAAGGACATTTTGCCTCAACTACATTGCATGACATATTATACAGTATTAACTGCAAGGTAATTAATAATTTGGCCAGCTTATCAAAACAGTTCAACCTTTCCATCTTGCTGTAATACATTATTAATAAACTCAATGAAACATCTTAACACTCACATGTCTATAGTGGCAGTTTATGATGATGCAAAAGGATATGATCACAGATTTAGAAAAAAAAAAACAAACACTAAGAAACCTAGGTAAATACAACCTTTCTGACATTTGAAAAAATAAAATAAAATCTTCAAGCAGCTCATTTACTTGTTCCTTAAAGCATCACTAAAACTTGTACAAGACCAGAGCCATAATTGGCTTTTAAAAACTGAGATCATCAAACTATTTCCCCTGAATTGGATGTTTTTATCAAATCTTACTGCACTTTCAGTGAGGTAAGACCTGGTACACACAGTGAACCATTTTAGGCCAAATTAAGAGTCAAAAAGACTTTGTGGGTTTGAACATGCTGACCAGTAAACTGACTGGAGTTGACCTCAGTGTTTCTAAAAAATTCTAAAAAGCCCCATGAGAGACTACCCACTGGTTTAAAAATAAACTCATGGCCTGTCAAGCACTGGGAAGGAAAGAGTGATTATGGCTGAAAACGATTAATGTCTGTCTGCAGTGACTTTATCACTGAACCCCAAAAAGAGTTTCCTTTGTGTTTTTTCATTGCATTCCTGCATGTAAGACTTGTTTCCCCTCTGGAATGTTTATGACTGGCTATAAGGCGAGCCCAGGCTTGTTTCCACACAGTCGGGTATTGTAGTACTGCACTGTAAATTAACTCCTAAATGCTTCCGGCAAAAATGTCCAATGAGTCATTGACCTAGATTTGAAGGTGAGGAAAATACGGACAGAATTTTGGATAGTATTGTATTTCTACATCAAGACATTACACAAGTAATAAAACAAAGTTTAAAAGTTTCATTGTTTTTATTTGGTGGGAAAAAAAAGTTGCTTCCAAAGGATGGTGCAGAATGTTGCTTTGGTGTCAGCTTACATGTAAACATTTGGTTTTGATGATGAAATAAGTCCACAAGTCTCTTCATACTAAAAGCAAAAACAGTGACAAACCAGAGCAGCAGCAGTGGTGAGACTATGTAAAAAAACACTCACATTTTGTGCTCTTCATTCCAACCGAGTTTCTCAACACACATTTTGTTCACATATTTAATGGAATTACAGCTTACAGCATTAAAAACGTATGTCATCCATAAACCAAAGATAAGCTGACAATGCTGAGCAAAGACTTGTACTGGAAGTTCATTGTTAGAAAAACAGACTCATCAAGAGTGTAAAAGTATTTTTTTTGACACATATAATTTTGTCACCTTATTTTTAACTTACAATTTGATGCAAACTAGCACCCAACGGCACCCAGTGAAAAGCCAATCATTCTGCTATTTTCCTCATTGTGCTTACTGTTGAGGCTATGTAGCTACATAGCTGTTTATCATCTGCATACGGTGGAATCATGGAGGCCTGCTGGAAATTGAGCTACTTGCTAACGTGCATTACAAGAATACATTATGGTAAATGTCATTGCTGTTTTCAGTACAGTCATGAGTCCAGGGATTTTTTTTAGCTTGAGGAGAAAGATTTTTTAGTAGCTTTCAATGGAACACAATGTGGCTATCAGTCTTACTAAGCCACTCAATGAAACTTACCCGAATCAATATTTTATGGTAAAATATGTTGGGTACTTACTCCTACCATATCCACAGAGGTTTTAACCAAAGTGACCAAACCACAGCTAACAGACGAGTGGATACTGAAATGCATATTGAAAAATAAAATATTGGACTGATAGAAACACAACTCCAATTCAATCCTGACGTTGGTCTAAAACTGCTGGATGTGTAAATAGGCAACTATTTACACATTTGCCACATTAACTTTATGTAGTAATCAATATGTGAATGTTGTTTACAGTATATTCTTCTGCCTCCAAGTGGCTAAAAAGTGTTGTTTCAGTGTCAGCTGATACTAAATTTAACAAGCTTAAAACTCCAGGGCGAAATGATCCGTTATAAGAAATTTAAGAAGAGAACAGAACCCAGTTTGAAGCAATGTTTACACTAGAAAACATTCAGCTTTTCTTAGTATTTTGGACCTGCCAGAGAGAAAGTCCATTATACGGTATTATGCCCTCTGTGCACCTTGTGAACGGGTTTCAACAAATCAGCTACAAAAGCAGATACACCATTGCACAGTACATGTGATGCAAACAAAATATCGAGGCTTTTATATCCGAAACATTCCAACATCTTGACTGCATAGTGGGGAATGTGCTCAGGTCAGGGTTGGCACTTGGTTCAGAGACTATGTCCCATTCAATGCATCGGCTAAAAGGTTAACCTTCACCTCCTGTCCAGATGAGACATTTCACAGCAAATTCATCATAGAGTAGTCACAAATTCATGTCTCTGCATAATGTCGTGTTCATGGGTTGTCATCCGTCTTATGGATTGGTTGTCAAATGTGGAAAAAAAAAAAAAGTCAGAACTGTGTTGAATCATCATGGCTTAAGTATTTTGGTCTTCAGTCTGCATGTATTTGTTCATGTAAATTAACTGAACTCAATACAGAGCTCAGTATACAATTGGCAGTGTGAAGAGGCAGCTAGTTCTGACTCCTACCAAGCAGGGAGTGAGTCAGTGCTGCAGGAGACAACTTAATTGACTGCATGGAACAAGTCAGTCTCAGTAGGATTCAATTAGGTCTGCATCCTTTGTTTTTCTGTCTCAACCACTGAGATAGATGGAATTAGACACAACAACAAATCATTTCCCAAGTCCTGCCTTTGCTGTCACAATAGCGCTGTCTAAACACGTCTAATGCCAAAAATGTTAATACCTGTTGCTTATTGCCAGTGTAAGCAGTGCTAAAGCAATAGCAGTGGAAAAATCCTCCTCTCAGCAAAACTAATGTGAACATCTTGTTGTCATAGAAAAGAACAGGACTTGATAAATCATATAAATAGCGGTAACAGCTTACACTTCCAGACGAAACCTCCTTAAAGGCACTGACAGTGTTGTCCTCAGCTGCACATGTGAAAAGTGACTGAAGTAGTTTCTTAAAGAATAAGAAAGTCCAAACTTTGTCCAAAAATTGTAGTACGCAGTCCCCCCAGAGTTGTAAATGTGTTTAGGAAAGGCAGTTTCAGATGCTGCTTGATGATGTGACAAGCTGGAAGCTGACCGAATAGACCACAAAGGGTGAACCTCAGTTGTGAACCCATGATATCCAAGTTTGTAAGTACAGATTGTGACATATTGTCAGCAAATTGCCATTTTTGTGTGATGTTACATTTAAAAATGCATTCAGTCAAGAAATGTAGATTTTTAATGAGAGCATCTCTGAAATGGGGCACAGTTCATTTCTTTATGATTGACTTAGACTTTTGTGCCACACATGTATGGGAAACTAGATTTTAGGTAGGTTGCAATTTTTATTTGTACCTAAAACTAGATTTTAGGTAGGTTACAATATTTTTCCGAATTCTCGTGCACACAAGAATGGTTCCTCTAGTTATATAAATGAATGGAATTAAAACAGCACTCACTAGATGTGTCTTGGACAGACTCAAGGCCCTGAACACACTAATTGACCATGACTTAACTGAATACCAATAGTGACAAAACTTCAAGTAAAACAACACATTTTCATTGAAAAATGGCATGCATGTAGTCCACTGTGCAAGACACAAGCCACGTCAAATGTGCTGACCCTTGTCTGTAGGATTTTGTGTCCTGAGGTGCTCATAATACACAGATGTGTAACAGGGTGCTGCATGGGGGGTTGGCTGTGAAAGATATTATGTACTTATAGCTGAAGGGTTGGCAATTGCCTTGCACTTTAAAAGTCATACCTTTTCATTCCTTCCCTGTTTTCAAATTAGCTGCTGTGCACACACAAACAGGTCCTGCTCTCTCAAGTTGACTGGATGGCTTTAATCCACGGCCTGCAAAGTGTTTTATTACTGACACTGACTGACTCATCAATAACTTGGAGGGAACACAAACACTGAATGATAAAACTGCTCCTTCTCCAATCGTTTTCTGGATTTTGAACTCTTCACCCTGCCCTTATGAAGGGAACTAATGCTGGCTTCTTATACCTATAATCTCATCTTTTCCAATCACTACCCAAAGCACAAGACCAAAGATGAGGGTTTAAGTGCAGAATGTAATATGTGACTACTTTATTTTGAATGCCTTTTCACCAAAAAAAAACCTTATGGTTGGCCTGAAAGGGCAGATTACAAGCTAGTGGCATGATAGAGAATTATGACTTGGCCCAAGGCTCAGATCAAAGGGTGGACATGTGGATGCTGCCTTGTGGGACCAGCAGGGTGGAGCTAAGAATCATGTCCATTGCAGTGGTGTAGCAGGTGAAGGTCTTGGCATGATGCCAGACTGTTGATTCAAGACAAAGAATTTCATAGGTGTTTGCTTAAGAGCAAATTGTTCAATTCAACTGTCTGTATGCCATCATCAGCTTTGTTTTTTAATGTTACGGGTAATGTATGAATTGTGCTCTCATCAACTTTGCTTTTGTCTCATAATTTTCAGGATGTACATCATAGGATGCTGTCTAGCAGGCATTATTGCTCACAATATTTTGAGGTACTTACAATAAATGTGTCTACTTGTTGAAAAATATATAATCAAAGTGAAATAATCAAGTATTTTTAGTATACATTGAAGGGGTGCGGATTTATGCAGTTCAGTAGGGTGTACATGTGTGCACCTGTTCCAATGTTGAGTTGGTTTGAGCAGGTGGATGGCATAGCTGTAAATCCTTGAATTCCTTGCACCATGTCATTTGTGGTCTCCTTTCACTTTGGCACAATCAAGTTAACAGCCAGGTTTTAGAAGTTAGTATCAGAAGATGTTGCACCAAACATCAATACTGCTTCACTGGTGCAGAGTTTTTGCCATGTTCTTTCAGAAAAATAAAAATAGAAATGGCCTGAGATATTGTTATAACTCTGCATGAGAGCTGTGCTTCCAACATCTACTGCATAATAACATCAGGTTCGATGTTAAAGAGTAGGTCGTCATTGTCCCTCCTGACTTCCAGCAGCAGGGCTGTCTCCTCCTGCAGTGCTCCTTGCAGGTCAGCTGTGGTCATCAGCGGTCTGCCGTTTAGTTTCACAATAATGTCACCGTCTTTGATACCACCTCTAGAGAGAGTAGAGAGTAGAGAGAGAGAGAAATAATGAGGTTGTTGTACATGCAGCATTTACTTTGATTCAGAAATTAGTAGTGCTTCTGTTTGAGGACTTAATTTAAAAAAAAAATTGAACACATAATATACAATAAATTAAACCTACTTCTGTGCCGGAGAGTGTGGAACAACCTCATGGACATAAATCCCAGTGGTAACATTGGGGAAGTCTGGGTTTTGTTGTTTGAGCTCTTCAATTAACCTGAAACACACGCACACATATTCAAAAAAGTCCATTATCTAACTAAAATCATAGATGTATTTGATAAAGCTGCATTTCAAAAACAAAAAAATGAATAAAAGATGTCAGATGTATGACATTCGGATATTTGTCATATATTTCTTTCATAATATAATTTCATAATTTACAGTGTGGTAGGATTCATTTCGACCATGGATGTGACCAAGATTTTTCTGGACCCATCTTGCACAGCGTCACATGCAATAAAATTCTGCAATTATTGTTGCTACACAGTTTAGAGGAAGAAGATAAAAAAGAAAACTGCAAAAGGGTTTGGGCAACAAGTGCATAAAATCATGAAGTTGATTTATTTGATTGAATGACTGAATTTCCCTTCTGGGATAAATAAAGTATTTTTCATTTCATTCATTCATTCATTTCGTTTCATCAGTGCACAGTGTTCAAAGCTTGTAAATAAGAGTTGTGTGCAACTTTCTCGCAATGACTCACAAAAAAGTGAATTTTCACTGGACATTACTGCAACAGCAAGCATATAGCTAGAGTTACCCAGAATGACAAAATATTTTAGTTACCTACAAAATCTACGTTGCTGCACACTAAAATTCTGTGAGCAGGGGGCTTTATTTAGGATATTTAGGATATTTTCATATTGAACAATATAAATAAAAAAGGACTGAAATTAGGTGAGACACCTTTTCAAGGGTGGATCTCTTACTAGAGTGCTGTGTCTATAGAAACAGCCAAGCAGTATAGTATTTACTAAAAGGGACAGCATTTAATCTAAATAATACTGTCCTTTGTTTTCTATTTGTCATGTTTTCCTTCAGTAGAGTGAAACTCATCAGTTACATCAGTTGCACTTACGCTGGTGTGATGGTCAACATTCTGATTCCAATGAAACGCTTCTTTACTGATCTCACATCTAAAAAGAAACCCCAGTTAGTTACAATTATTCATACTCACAGTTCCTTGTTTAATCCTAACTTGGTGACGTCGCTGTCGTACTCACCTTTGTTGTGCTTGTCGAGCGAATCGTTGAGGAAGCGAGTGATCCTGTCTGAGGGGATGGCAAACGAGATTCCCGCCGCAACTTTCAGGGTGTTGATGCCAATCACCTCCCCATCCTCAAACACAGACACACAACAGGACAACATCAAAACTACCATTTACATTTAGATTTTTGATTGCTGAGATGTTTCTTCCACAAGCAAAATTACCGAAACACTAGCAGAACTATTCTTTTGCCAGCTGACATCAAGAATAAGAGTTGAAGAACCCTATTTTCCTGCTACTGCAAAACCAGCGCAAACACAGTTGTTCAGTTCATCTTGTAAACGTTACCAAGACCCAAAAAGAGAAATATACTTTACAACAGTCATGAAAGTCTCTAGGTAAGAAACTAAAAGCTTACCAAATTGACAAGAGGTCCTCCAGAATTCCCATACTATGAATGAAAACACAAAAGCCAGAACTGTAATGTATACATTGCAGAAACACCTTGCAATACGACATATTTACAGTCGGAAAACTGAAGCCAGACCAACTCCAGTTGTGCAGAAAAAAAAGCTACTGCTCTTTCTAACTATAATTTTGTCACAGAGCACACATGCTCTCTGCCGTGTTATATTCATACATTGATGATAGCGTCCGTCTGGATGTAATCCATGTCTGAGTCCCTGAGGCCCAGCTCCTTTCCATCTCTCTGAGCAGTGCTGACGATACCAGTGGTGACAGTGTTCTGGAGGGCAAAAGGGCTGCCAATCGCAACCACAAACTCCCCGGGTCTCAGGTCTGCACTGTGGCCCAGAAACAACACAGACAGCTTTACCTGGGGGGAACACACAAAGTGGGCATACAGGTGTAAGTGCAGGATACATGGTAATTAGTCACCCATTACAAATAAGGAAATACAATAATTTACACTCACATTCATATTAGAATCCTTAATTCATCTAACCTGGGTTTGATTTTTTTTTTCCCCCAAAGATGTGATTCAGAAAAATAATCGTCGTTTAATATTAGTTGTTTAAACCTGAAAACTGGTTCTTACTTTAAACAAATCAATGGTATGCACCTAGTTCAGACTACAGGTCAAACGCAGAGATTGCACAGCTGGTCATAAAAGATTTTTAAAGTAATACATTTTTTATGTATACCTACATCTGCTTTCGATAGTTGGGATTGTATTGGACTCTTTCCAGGGGAACACTTCTCTTATACAACGATGGTGAGCAGGATAAAGCCATGCTAAAGTTTACATATGTAGAGCAAAGTACCAAAATATAATCTAATGTGCTCTAAAGTTTATCTGTATTTTATTACATTCTGCATTCATTCTTAATTCATCCTTATCAGACCACTTTCACAGCTGTAAAGTAAGCACAGCATTTGAAGCCTAAACTATCACCTTACCATTATACACTGTATAATATATACACAAAAGTAAGTCACACACATGAGAAAGTATCCACAAAGAAAAAGGGAGGGGATGTGATTTGAAAAAAAAAAAGGGTTGAGGAGGCGAAGCAAAAGGGAGGCAAAGGATAGAGCTGAGTGGAAACACATGCTGAGCAGACAGATGGTGTGAGAGAAGGAATGAGCTGAAACTGCTCTGTTTAAGATTTCTTTCAGGTGGAATGTTTTGGATTGTGTTTCTCTCACTCCTCCCAGTCTTGGTCCTGATCCAGAGTTCACAGTTTTAAGGTGGAGATGTCAACCGCTGGTCATGCTGGAACTGGAGTTCAACTCAGCTTGGTGTTTGAAAGCAGATGCTAATATTTTCTCAATGATTGAATCACACACACCATTACCCTGGTCTGTACAAATACACACTGTGTGACCAAGCATTGCTCAGACCAACAGAAATTAATTTCTAGTGAAAATCCCCAAGATTCCCAAGTGACTTTGGGTAAAATATGTATGAAATGATTCACTAGATATTGAGAATATTTCCAGTTGATAGAATGTAGCAGCTATAAAAATATGATTTGGGCCTAAAATGAATTGTTGAAGGATGAAGATGAGCTATACAGCTTATAGGTTATCATCACTATCATCACAGTTATATTTATATGCCCCTTATTTAAGCAAATGTTTTTTTGAAAACAAAAAAATGTAATACAATGTTTGTGAATTAACATATCTGCAGGACATCAAATTTTATGAATCTGATCAGTGTATGTGGCCTAAACCTAATTAAATATGGGACATAGTCCCATGCTTTGCACACAGAATCATTTGTACTTTGTCTCTGTTCCAAGAACATTCCTTTAGTTTTTTGTCATCTTTTGAGGAGCTTAATGCCAGGAAACCAGCAAATTTGTAAGTAACCAGTGCATGTACAGGACACTACAAATTCAACCTTGGTTGCTACATGATCTGCAAAGTTTTCAGTGGTACCTGAAACCTGGACAGGGCTGACTGCATTACTGCATTAGGTACTGGGGTAGCTACAGACTCACCATGGCTGGTCCAACTCACTCGGAATCTGATGAAGCAAAGTCTCTCTGAATCTGCATATATTATTGTGTGTCATATCCAAGAAAATGAGGGTGGAGACATGTTTCCAGGGCTTTTTAGTGTTCACAAGTAAAATCAGACTGTTTTCAGCTGTTTACATGAGTTGAGCTGGTCCACAAGTTAATGGCCAAGTGGCAGTTCACCCACGTCCAGGCACGGCCAGAGGTTTGACTTGAGAACTTGGCTATAAACTGCTTCCATGAACTGGCAATCAAAGACCTTATACTAGCTCTACTTGAAGGAGAAACCAATGTAGAGCTGGCTCATTAAAGAATTTTGCATGGTTCGACGCAGCTGCCGCACATAAATGAGAATCGCCTCACCGCCGCAGTAAAATGGCTGACACACAAGTTGAGTCATTAAGTCATTCATATGATCACAGAAGGTCAAGGCTCTGTAGCCTGGCGTCCTAACAAATGTGGGTGGTATAGTCCACAGGTCACAATAGCTCCCTGACACTGGGTGACTGCAGGAGAAATGTTCCGATGGTTTGATTCAGCATACTTCTGTCTCAAGATAGTACAAGACAGTATGAGCTGGGTTTAATACAACTCTTCAATTCCTGATGTGTGTATGCTGAACAATGTGATCCACCAGGCATCCAGGCCCAATGAACCTTTGCGACTGTTGCTGTGTCACACAAAAATCTTTCCATTAGCAAATCATTGAGGTGCTTAATTGAGAAAATGTTTTAAGAGTTATATAATGCATACAATGTGTGTAGAATACATTTTTGACAGTTAGTGGAGCTTTAATAGTGGGTCAAGTAAACTATTTTAAGTACTTTGACTCTAATTCTTCGACACTACTAGCACAGCTCAACTGCTTTGTTACGGTTGATCAAGATTGTGGGATATGGCATTTACTTATTCCCCAAAAGGTGAGGTTGATTTTTCAAACTTCAGAGGTGGAGACAGTGGCTGAGAACTCCACTCCCTTTGTTCTATGAGTTGTGTTGACTGGTTATTGCAGCTACTGTCTGATCAATCAAAAAATGTGGATACCTGACAGCTTGTTTTTTGTTGTTGTTGTTGTTGTTGATGTTATTGTCAGTGGTGGACCAATTATAGACCCCAACAGCTGGCTACGGAAACCAAAAGTGCCTGCTTCAAGGTAAAGTTTTAAAAAACCAAAAACTTTATATTTGAAAGCAGTTTTCAAAAACACAAAGAAATAACACAGACTAAACAAATTGTAGTAAATGTCACAGCTTACATCATGAAGGGGTCATCAATGTTGTTCAAGAGCAAAAGACATCCTCTGTGATTCACAGCCATAAATCAGTTGGCAACAGTAGAAAGTCACTGAGCACATTTACTCAACTCTGTGAGTACAAATTACATACATGTGCCTGGTTTTTATATGCATGAGTTCTGAGATTAATTATACACCATAGCAGAAGTTGTAAAATTATACAAGAACACACAAAAAATACAATACAAGACGTGCAGGAAAGCACTTGGGTTCATAGTCTGGAGTAGATGACATCATATGTGGTTGCCAGGATTGCAGAAGGAGGCATATAAACAACTACTAAATGGACACGTGAAACTCCCCACTTATCCAGTAACCCCACAGCTAACCCTGTAGCTAGAAACATTTCCTCATGGTGATGTGATCAGGGTGGCACCATTTGCTATCAATAAAAACAGTAAGCACTTTGCCTGTTTCCTTGTGACTCTGATTGATTCCGGTCTGCTCGCACCATCTGAAAGCAGCCGATGGTGGATTCTAGAGTATTTTCATGGAGACATGATTCTGTAAAACACGTAACACTTTGTAGAAGTCGCTCGATAGATAGATAGATAGATAGATAGATAGATAGATAGATAGATAGATAGATAGATAGATACAACTTTATTGATACCTTTGGTATGAACCTTAGGAAAATTGTTGATATTGAATATCCATCCATCCATTATCTATACACCACTTAATCCTCACTAGGGTCATGGGGGGGCTGGAGCCTATCCCAGCCGACTTAGGGCGAAGGCAGGGGACACCCTGGACAGGTCACCAGTCTATCACAGGGCTACACTCAGAGACAGACAACCAAGCACACTCACATTCACACCTACGGACAATTTAGAATCACCAATTAACCTCAACATGTTTTTGGATTGTGTGGGAGGAAGCCGGAGAACCCAGAGAGAACCCACGCTGCCCCCACCGGGACGCGAACCGGCAACCTTCTTGCTGCCAGGCAATAGTGCTTGATATTGAATATAATATTGATAATAATGATGATTTTATGTAGCCTAAAACTAACTGTGCATGGATTGCAGGATGCAAACCCCAATCTTAGGAGTTGCGAAACCAAATAAAAGCTTAATCTTTAACAAGAAGATTTAAAAAAAAAACAACAAAAGTTTAGGAATAAATAACATATGCAGAAAACATGGCGACAGTGGCCAGTATCAGTTCAGGAAATCAGCACACTGCTACAGCTTCAGCTGGGAATTTGCGTAAGAGCAGCAAAATAAAAAATCCTCTATAAATCCCTGATCTGGATGAGCTGGAAGTATTTGGTGTCACCCCAGGGGAGGTTTAGAGTCTGACTATGGTCCAGCTTCCCACCCTGTTAATACCACTGTGAACCTGGACACATGACACACTCTGTTAACACACAGTGAGCCTGCTGACTGTGATGAAACGCCCATCTAAATACTCATTACCCTGCTGGAGTTTTATTAGAATGAAGAGTGCTAATAGAGGCAACGAGAATGTTGGATTAAAGCCACCCTGTGGAGTTTTCATTCTAAACAGACATTGTTTTGTTTACATCCAAAGTTTCCCACCAAAATTGATTGCATGTACCCTTAAGGCAAAACAGACAAGTGGGTCAGTGTTGTTCCACTGTCTCAGATTTTGTTCAGAGTTGACTCATTTGTTATTTGGGATCCGAAACTAAACTCTGTAATGTATTTTGGCTGCATTTCATATTTTCTACGACCTGTGAATTTTTGTATACACACACTCAAAAATGTCTTACCTGAGAAAACATCTTTAGGGTAAAATACCTTCATAAGTTTTTCGCTATTTTGACCATAAATACTAGTGTGCATAGGCCTATTATTGTCATTATATGGGCAAAGGTATAACAACAGACTTGGCAATGTCTTCTATTGTACGTTATGGTTTTCTCATCTTGTTACTCACTTCACTTGTGCACCAGATGTGTGATTCATGCACATCTGGTTAGAAGCTTGTAGCTGCATGCCACGTGGAGAGATGAAACTGTTTGACATTTGGGAAGTAAGGATTGTATCCCCAAGAGTGGCTTCGTGAAAACTCTAACACTATAATCAAGGGAACTCTGGATTTTCACTTCCAGAAAAAGGTGTAGCTTTTACTCTGCGTCAGTTGCTACAGCAACTCTGTAAAACTAACCTGCTCTCTGGCAGCTTTTCGTCAACAACCCCTGAGTTTGTCTCCTCCAGCTGAGCCTGAAAGAGCTGTACGACACAACAGGACTAAATGTAGTTTGAAAATGGGCTTCATATATGTTTCAACAGCATTTCTGTTACTAGTGTTACATTTACTACATGCTGACATATAGTTATAAGAAGCACTCGAGCAAGATTAATGAAGACATTATAGATATCAAGCACTAACACTAAGCCAGACTGTGAGATTACAATCACAGATCTGTCAACAAGCTTTTGTCTCATCTGTTTGAGTTTATCTTCTCAGGCAACCAATTTAGGCTACAGCTAAATTAATGTATTTAAATATTTAATTTGAATGTAACATACAATCAGAATCAAGTGCTTTATGGTTCTTTAAGGAAACTCCAGTATGCTAAAAGATAGATGAAGTCAGGCTCTTTTACTGTCAGTGTTGTTTTTTCTAAAGACAGGTATGTTGTCACATATTCACGTTTACACCAACCATAGTTTAATATAAAGGCTCTGGTGCTTTTTTTTTTACCTGCGTTAAGTCATACTGCATTCTTAATCGCACAGTTTTCTTTTTCCTTTCAATACACACTACATCTGCCCTTGCAGAGGACGTATTGTTGTATGGATTATACATACAACTGAGATGCTACTTTGTCATATTACTGAACCTTAGGCTTTCTTATTTAAATATCCTTTGCAATGTGCAATGTGAAAATCACCTGTTTGTGCACTTTCTGTGGCTCAAGTTTGTTACTCGAGTGGGACACTGACTTATGTGACATATCTTCTAATGCACGGAGAACTGTGATTAAAAATGGGTAGAAAATCATGCTGGCTTGCAAGCTGCAAAATGAGACCAGAGGTGTGAAGACATATTGGCATTTCCGGCATACTACATCTGAGAATTTGGATAATACTAAATCTTTTTCCTACGTACTACATAGTATGGCAGCGTGAGTATTGGAAGGCACCCTCAGAATTCAATTCAATTCAATTCAGTTTTATTTATATAGCGCAGTTCGCAACATGTGTCGTCTCACAGCCCCTTACATTGTATGGGGCAGACCTTACAAATTTTAAACAGAGAACCGAACAATTCAAAGTTGCATTTGGACTCCCTCTGAGCAAGCAGTCGCCAACGGTGGGGAAGGAACCAAAGTTGTGAACTATCAATTTTAAAAATTTGAATATGTGTAAAATTAGCTTTGAGCTAGTTCTTGCTGAGATGAACTTGCACAACACTGTCGGTGTTACTATAGCTCATAATCACTGACCTTTTTTTAATATAATACATACGTGTGTTGAATCAGCACATAGAATGTAGAGGCCAATATTTTAAATTCACAAATAGTAAATTGTGCAATTACACCTCTTTACATTTATCTGTTTTTGTCAAACACTGCCAATTATTGGACCATAACATTTCATTTTTATACTGTGGTAGGAAAAATACAGACAACATCTCTGGACTCTGAGACCCTCCACCCAAAATCAGTTCAAATTAAAGACATTATATTTAGTGCTTTCAAACAGACCCTCAGAAAATGCAGATCCTGATCCAGATTCATATGCACAAATACTAAGAGGTTTCAATGAAAGCTTATTTTACTTATTATTGTAAATAAGGCAGCCACCAGTCGGGAAGCCATAAATCAGTGTGACATCAGTTGATGCTGACATTTTAGGATTTGTATTCACTTCAAATCCTAAAGTGACCAAACTGGCTGATATACAGTAATTTAAAATCTGATGCAGCAAGTGGTATGAAGTCACACATAGTTTGAGATGAGACTGCATAAAACTATTTCCCTCTTGCTGATAAAATCACAGAGCTGTGGACTCACCTGAGGATTGATTTTGATGGTGGCAATGTCTGACTTTTTGTCAATGTCTTTGATGCTGGCTTCATATATGTCACCATTATGCATCTGGACCTTTAGGAGAGAATGGAAGAATTACATTTCCAGAGCACTGTAAATGAATATGTAACATAGCAGTGTGTTCTGCTCACTTGAACATCCATCCATCCACTATCTATACACCACTTAATCCTCACTAGGTTTGCAGGGGGGCTAGAGTCTATCCCAACTGACTTAGGGTGAAGGCAGGGGACACCCTGGACAGGGCACCTGTCTATCACAGGGCTACACTTAGAGACAGACAACCAAGCACACTCACATTCACACTTACAGACAATTTAGGATCACCAATTAACCTCAACATGTTTTTGGACTCACTTGAACATTAGCATTGTAAAAAGGATATCAAGTACACTACTAACCAGTAGACATTTATGTGGGCAAATGCTGATATTTTTTGTTTACAAGTATAGTCAGTATTTTGTGCTGATGCCCCTCCTCTATTTGACTCTCAACACTGTCACAATTGCAATATGGCTAACTGCATCGCAGGTGCACTTCTTTGAAGAAAACATTTTTTCTGTTGAAAATCTTATGGCAGAATATTAAAGACATCTCTGGACTCCACAATTTAAGGGTATCTCAAAGACAGTCATCAAATAAATATGTAATCAGTCAACCTCCACCCTACATATTGACTGAACCGGATCATATTCTTAAAGAAATAGTTCCATCTTTATGAAAAAAAAAAGAAAAGAAAAATGAAAATATGCCAGTTTGCTTTCTTTCTCAGGGTGAGAAGACCACTCTCGTGCCTGTGCATAAGTATGGAGTTGGAGTCAGGATGTGCAGCATGAAACTTTAGAGGTGTTTTTAGAGGTGCTGTTTTTCCTTACCTCTCGTCTCTATGTTTGGTTAAACTAACCACATCCTGATTAAAATAAGATGGAAATCCATGTAAACACGTCATTCTTGGAAAGAAAGCTTTGTTTCTTTATATATATTTCAAACCTACATAATTGATATGAGAAAGTTGTTCATGAAATACATGCAGTTTTAGTAATGGGACTCCAAAATTTAAAAAAAGCAGTTTTTGTGTACCTTGAGATGCTGTTGACCTGACACTGGTGTGGTGCTGGACACGACATGGGCATTGGTAACAATCAGTCCATTCTCTGACATCACAAACCCGGATCCACTGGACAGAGGGATGTTGCGACCAAAGAGTGGATGTCTAGGGATATAGGGAAAGTGAAGTTTATTAGTGTGGATTACACAGTGGAGTTCTCATTGCTAAAGATGTACAATTCACAATTTACTATGCTTTCCTGGCATGCTTATAATGTCACCATTTTACCATAGCACGGTGGATGGTGAAATTTCCTCCAAAAAGTCCCTTTTCTTTTGAATGTTTGGGAGACATTTCACCATCCTCAATGCTTTGGCAAAATGGTTAACTTGATTCAATCCTTGGTTTGTAGTGACTGAAATCTCAGCATGTTCTTTTTTAGCAGTCATAATCAATGGGTAATAGCCTAATTCTTTTCTGCATGCACTGAATGGTATTTGGATGTTTCATATGAATTTGCGGAATCTGGACATCTGTGGTATGCTTTTTCCATCTAGTCTATTCCTGATGACTGAGTGGACACTAAACTTCACTACCATAGACAGCAACTAGCTGGATTACACTGTCAAATATTTTAGTCTAAATAGAAAAAGGTGTGTCAATTTCTTCTGGTTGCAAAAATGCTCTTCATAGACTTTGTTTCAATGCACCCTCTACCAGACCAAAAATATATGACACACTAAATTTGAGGCCTCAGGAATCATAATATAAGGTTTGTGTTTCCTATTTTAAATGATAATAGGTTTCCTGAGATCTGAGCTTCTTTTGGAAGCTCATGATTGAAGTGTTGTTTAGATTGACTGTCAGCACCTAGTTCTGCCAGTACTGCTCCAGAAGGTCCAGGTGCTGCTGAGGTCCTGTTTGTGTAGCAGTGACAGCAGCACAGGGTAAATGGCATAGAGCAGGAATTTAACTTCCTTGTTGTTAGGGGTAAACAATGGGTTCCAAATTGCCCAGACATTACTGCCAGGTCATTAATCCATCCATCCATTATCTATACACCGCTTGATCCTCACTAGGGTCGCGGGGGGGCTGGAGCCTATCCCAGCTGACTCAGGGAGAAGGCAGGGGACACCCTGGACAGGTCACCAGTCTATCACAGGGCTACACTTAGAGACAGACAACCAAGCACACTCACATTCACACCTACGGACAATTTAGAATCACCAATTAACCTCAACATGTTTTTGGATTGTGTGGGAAGAAGCCGGAGAACCCGGAGAGAACCCACACTGCACGGGTAGAACATGCAAACTCTACGCAGAAAGATTCCGGTGCCCCCACCGGGACGCGAACCGGCAACCTTCTTGCTGCGAAGCAACAGTGCTCAGGTCATTAATGAGGATGGGAAATAGAGTAGGAGAAAAACTGTTGCCCTGAAAGATGTCTCTCCCTTGAATAATGAGCCATGTCGTTTTCTTGTTGATTTTTACACCACATTCACTTTTAACCCACTTTTTACCAAAGGAAAATTTGTTATTAAAGTAATAATTCTATTAATTTTTACTAAATGGTACTTGGAAATAATCATGGATGAGCCACATAAGCTTTCTATATGCTTTTCAGTACTGAAGAGCAGTTAAAGGACCTGAGAAAACTAATTACACTGCTCTGTTTCTCACTGCTCTAGAAACAGGTCCACTGTCAGGGTGTGTTTCTGCTATCATCCACAAATCTACCAAACAACTCTTGCCCTCTTGAGTAAAAAAGTTGTATTTCAACACTAAAATGAAACCTAATGATATGTCTCTCCAGAATAGATCAATGTGAAAATGCTGGCACCATGTTTGAGCGTGGACTAGAATCTGATCCAAAATGCTACAGTCAGACTTCTGACAGGAATCAGCAAGAGAGATCATATCTCTTCATTGGCTCCCTGGAAAATACAGAATAGAACTTAAAAGGTCTTCTCCTCACATCAAAGCCCTTTATCATGAAGCTCCATTGTATCGTAAAGACCACACAGTATTCCCTCAATTTAAGAGTGTAGAATTTTGTGTGGTTCTCAGGGTTTCCGAAAGTAGAATAGGAGACAGAGCCTTTAGCTACCAGGCTCTTCTCCTGTGAATCCAACTCTCAGTTTGGGCTCAGGAGAGGGATGCCTTTCAGGAATTTCAGAATTCTGTTATGCTGCTGTAGTATATGGAATAGTTAAAAACGATCAATATGACACATATACTTTGTAGTTTTTAGCTATAAACAGCTAGAAGCAACAAACTTAACCTCAGCTTCTGTTAATACTTAGAAGTCTGTGTGTGCATCCATCACCTAAGTCATGCAAACTGTGTCTTTTACACTGTGTGATGTTTGCACAGCCAGCTATAAACTGGTGCTATGTCAATACAATTGGATTAAATTTAACTTAATGAGGATGACAGAAAGCTTCATGAAAACACGGACATATGATTTTTAACCTTAACAGGCTTAGCTGATTACCTATTTAAAATTAGCAACAATAAGATCTACGGTCTTCTCAAATTCTGTGATTTTGTATGTTGCATAACAGATGTCAGTCACATATTTGCTTCTAATGTTAGATGACTCCACGAGTGTAAAATAGTGAGAGGAGGTGCAATTACAGTCACCAAAGTAGCATTATGAGTCAAATCATTCAATTCTACTCAGAACCCTACAACATGAGTAGTACAATAACACAAGCAAACATGCACACATAGCCAGTACCTGAGGAAGAGCTCGATGTGAACCACAGCGGGAGCAATTTTCTCCACCACGTCAGCTATGAAGTTGAACTTGTAACGAGGACTGGCAGCATGTGAAGGACCTATACTGGCAAGAAGAATTGAGTATTTTCATAATGAGTCAACATTGTGATTGAGGAATAATAAAATGACTTTGTTAAAGGTAAGGAAAAAGGAGGTTAGTAAAACATGGACGACTTTCTCTGTGATGTGAATTAAAAGAGTTAATGACATAACAGTTTTGTGATTTTCTGATGTTTAAACAAAAACATCAGTCAAAATCAGCTTTACATGACTAAAATGTTGAAGTGTTTTTAAAATAAAAGTAGGAAAACTGACTACTATCTCAGCTTTGCAGACATCCATTGATCTAAGAGTCACTACACAACTGATAGTTTTCCAAAGTGGTTTGGATTTAAAAACAGGTGAAACAGTGTATTTCAGGCTTAAAACTGTAAGAAATATTATGCCAGCTAATGATGTGTCCGAAAGTTAGCATAGAAATATGGAAACAGCAGTGGGCCAAGGACAGAGCCTAGGCACATTCCACATGGATCTGGTTGGACAGAAAGTTAGTTGTGAATGAAAAATTTTGATTTGAGATGTACAAATTAGACCATGTACCAGCAGAACCACTGACATAAGCCCACAGCTGAAACAGGGTTCTGCACACATCGGACATCTTACAACAAAATGCAGCTAAATAGGTGCCCTTTAGCTTGAGGGCAGCTAATTTCCATAGTACAAATGCTGGGTTGAGTACACAGCTTAATTCAAATCCCTTCATTGCATAAACAGATTAATGTTTCAACACCAGGAGAATCAACTTTGACTCTAATGAAGACACAGTAATGTTGAAACATTACTCTGTTTGCGCAATACAAGGCTTTGAATGAAGCAGTATGCTCCGTAGTGCTCAAAGGTAACAATATTCTCAACTCACAGTTTGTACATCCATACGTTAGAATGCTGTAGTGGCACAAAGCAAAGGTATATTTAGTATTATGATGTTGGAAAGCTATTGATAACTAAGCACATTTTAACTCCAGTACCAATGAAGTCTTTTAATAAATGTATTGGCATAATCCACCCTGCAGAACATACAGCATACAGCTATTAAATTGTCAATTTCTGTCACTTTAGGACCTCCGAAGTTAGCAGCTGCTCATGACAAGAGTGGCATCGGAATTGTTTTCTTCTGAGTTTTAATAGTTCCTGAAGTTTGTTAAATGTAGTCAGTAGAACAGAGTCTGGACTTTTGGAAACCAGTTCCTTCTACCGCCTCCTTCCACTACCTTAACATTAACAAATCCACCTGATGGCACAAACTTGGCAGGACAACTGGAAAACTGACTTTAATCTGCCAGGGTCATGTCGTAACCGCCTGCACTGTTCACCCAGTAATAATGAGCTACATGTTGTCTCGACAGCTGCACTTTGTGCTGCTGAGCCAAGTCAGCCTTTGAGGAAAATGTGGTTTGTTATTTTAGACTGAAGAGAGATTCTAAAATGACAGGCAGAATCCAACCAAATGCTGAAGCCACTGGGTTTAAATCTTAACATTACTATGTAAAAGACTTTACAGAGTCACATGAATTAGTACATGACCTTTTAAGTCTATTGAATCACCATTAGAACCACCAATAGAAAAACAAGATTTTTTTGGGTCTGGATTATTATAAACTGGACTTTATTTTGTATGCCCTATGAACCTAAAAATACAAATTCTGTTGACTGTAACAATTTGCAAGCCGTATACTCTCATTGACAGTGTATTAGGTCCAGGTAACTAAACCAACAAACCGGTACTCTAGAGCTGAAATTGAAAATCCATTTGAAAATTATTTAATTGATTAGCAAATTGACATTTTTCATAACTGTTTATCAAATGTGAATATTTAGATCACTACAAAAGAATCTGATTCATCCTGTGGGATCATGAATACCATGAACAAATTTCATGCACAGCTTAAAAGTAATCAAAAATCACTAGCCAAACAGAATATACAAAGCTGACATTAGACCGTAGAGGCACCCCCAGAAGAAAGATCCTGAAGTGTGAAAGCATCCAAGTAAAGTGGTTTGTTCTGTGGGGAACATAAATATACTCTAAATTTCTTCTTCTTTTCCTTCACATTAGATTTAGATATCACTTGCGGAAAATTAACTTCTGATGGTTGGAGATCATGAATGTGGCAGTAGCTGTTTCGATATCCGCTCAGACCAATAGATAGTCTCTCTGAAAATGTTAGAATCAGCATTGATCAGCAGGCTGATGGAAGAAACACATTGCTGCTCTAAAGACTGCTACAATCATCACCATCTGAAACACACACATGCAAACGTATAGAACTCAATTAGAGATATCAACTAAGGAAACAGGAAGTCCCTGCAGCCCAGAGTTGAGGCAGACTCTATTTACATTTTCCTTTGATCACAAACCCTTTATTTTGTCTGGGTTAAAAGGGTATGGGCTGGCACGCGCGCGCACGCACACACACACACACACACACACACATACACACACACACTTCACTGGAGCATTACATCTTTATGGGTGTGGTAAACTAAAAATAAATGGGTGTTTGACCTGAAACTACCAAATCGGTTGTGGTAAATCAGCGTTGTGACCATTGAGATTATAGTGAGATGGAGGAACTTAAATGACCAATACAATTAGTTGTAGCAAACCAACATTACTTAAAAGCTTTGTCTTTCTCATATGTGGTAAAGCCTTAAATCAGCACTTTTTGTCGTATGGTAAGTCTCCACTTAGCATGTATAAGTAATGTGTAAATGTTTAGTAAAGGGTTTGTAACACTCTGTAGTGTAGTTGTAATCAGATGCAAGTATTTGATCATGTATTTGCCAACAACTGCAACTCTTGTGTACACCAGTAAATAGAGGCTATATAAAATGACTATGAATAGCAACACAACACAGAGAAAAACAGCTGTAATAGTTTAAAATGTCACCATAAGAGAAGGTATAATTGTTTTTAAAAAAATGTTGCAGGTTAATAAATACGTAAAGTGTCATTATGCATCCATATGCATCCAATTTGTGTGTCGTTTTACACATGTATTTATGTGTTTGCTATTAATAATCGAGTTATAACAATATTGTAGTTATAATCCTACAATCATTCTGACTGGATATAAAACAGTCATAAGCCACAAAATATTCAGTTCAATTCCCTGACCAGCTTAAATTGCGGTAATTAAATACATTTATTGATCTAAAAATGTTTAAATCCAATGGTTGTTTGAGTGAAAAAAATGATCTAGACAACAAAAAACTCATGTTAAACTTCCTCTTTTTCAAAATGTTCTCATCCCCTATGCAGAATAAAGACATAAATGTGATTCCATGTACACTCTTAATTAATGAAAAAAAATAAATTCAAATAAATTCCAGCTTTGCTCTCAACTCTTCTATTAATGGACATGATTCTGACTCCATGCATGTGCCGTTTTAAACACCCTTCAACTGGCTGGTGTGTCTGTCAGGGGAAAAATCCTCACACACAGCGGAAGTCATTAATTGTATCTTTCTATCAGCAACAACAGCCTGGTTTTTCCTCTTTTTTATATATATATGGAAGTGCACCATTACCCTACCAACATCAGTGTAGGTTTTTTGGTCTTTTACTGCTGTTCTGTGGACAGTATTGGTATGTTATTTGGGTTCCACTTTCACATGCCACTTTTTGGATGCTTATACCCATTCTTACTGACATGTGCCATCGTATGATTCTGGTAGGTTATACTGTGCATAGACGAAGCAGAGATAGCTGGTTAAGTATTATAAGCTTGGGAACAAGCTAAACTTCTCATACTACATAGGGGAACGGTCTTTGATACTTGCTTTTTAAATTGTTTGCAACACAGAAATCAAAAAATGATTATCTTCCACTTTTACACAACGTAAACTATGGTGACACTTAAGGAGATTACAGTGTTGGGCATGGGGAAACTAGAGGAAAGAGAGCAACAGTGGCGTCATCAAGTTTTCTTTAAAACTTCTGTCATTGTTGTTGTAATCCAAGACTGCTGCTGCTGGCCTTACATTCTTTGATTACTGCTTATGCAAGATTTTCAGAGAGTTTATTACAGCTGCCAATGACATAAGCATTTCTTTAAATTAAACCACTGATGCACTACTAAATACATCAAAAACAAAGGTTTTTGCATTAAGCATTTAAGAAATACAATGTATTCATTTTTTAAATAGTCCCTTCATTTTCACAGGCTCCAAAGTAATTTGTACAAACAATGCTATTATAAATATTCGGGTTATTCTTCATACTTGGATGCAAATCCTTTGGAGTCATAGACTGCCTGAAGTCTGAAAACCCTGCACATTACCAGATAATGGCTTTCCTTCCTTGGATCTGGACTGATTCATTTTAAATTGATTGTGGAAGACAGAGGAACACTGTCAAAACACTTAAGGACCAAACTGTTTCAGCAAACAGTCAAGCAACTGCAAGTGGTGGTGGAAATAAATTGAACTCAGCAGTCGTCTGAGATCAACCTAAAAATGGATGTTCTACCCTTTTTTTGGAACAGTGCGGTAATGTGTTGGCTGAAATCTGTATGAGACACTTCCTCCAGCAGCAGTCATGCTCTACTTTTAAGAGTTTAGTATACAGCTGGAATTCTCAGACTGTAAAATGAGAGAGTGTGATGGAGAGAATGTGGGGCATATGAAGAAAGTAAAACAGCATGTTGTGAAAGAAGATAATTACTTAATGAGCAATTTACTTTTTCTCCTCATTGAGTTTTTTGGAAACAGAAAACTGATAAACTGTGGGGAGCTGCAGATAGGAGCATAAGCTATATATCAGTGTTAGAGAGGGAATGAGAAACATACACAAGTTTGGACAGGATAAAGACTGTAAAAGATCAAATGCTGCCAAAGCAGGATTCCGCAAGATGGAGGTAATGTCAGTTACCCTCATGGTCACCATATTTTTGTAATGATGTATGTTTCACATTAACTGGGTATTTACAATGACACAGGAGCACAGAGTGTTTTTTTCGGTGGTTTGCTGCCAATTAACACCTGATGCTGGCTTGTT